CCCCAGCAAACATCGGGATTGCCGCCTCTCGTTGTCCTCATCAGTGTGTTCCTCGACAAAGCGAACGTATTGTGGCTCTTGCCAACCATGCAATCTATGAGGTAATGGCAGGGGTGACCGCACCAATATATGATGAAGGACAACGAGAGGCGGCAATCCCGATGTTTGCTGGGGATCTGACAACATTTCGTTGTCTAAAAATAGCAGTTGTCTATAGTTACGAGATGAGATCTAGTATTGAGAAGCAGGAGGATGGCATTGTACCTCATTCCACGAATTGCGCGATAGTCAGCGCCCAAGACATCTATTGACCAGTTTTGTGGGGTCGATCCTTGTGCGACTCCTGCTTTCATTAGAGAATCAAGAGCGAATTCTAGTTGGGTCATGTCTGCTGTCAACTGTAGCTTTCCACTTTCACTCAGGGGTTTGATGATAGAAATATTCAGAATGAATGTTCGCAGCACATGAAGTGCTATTTCGAGCCCCCTAAGAAAAGAAATTGAGTATCTGGTGCACGAGCAAGAGGATTACATACCAGTCTTGTCCTAGTTCACCGAGATTATATTTGGACAAGACCTCGGTTCGAACATATGCAAGCTTGTCGGCCAGTTCCTTGAGGTAGCCACTCGTTCCACCCATCTCAGCCATTGGATCCACTTCTTCAGCGAAATCGATCCGGTGGACGCGCGAGATGATAGAACTGATGTCTAGTCGAATGGAGCTCAAGAGGGGATCGGTGATACGCGAGAAAGTAGCACGTAAAGCTTGGACTGCCGGCTCGAGGATCTTTGCAACGCCATCCGAGTAGCCTTCTGGGAGTTTGGAGAGTTGCAGCCAGCAATGGTACAGTGCATTGACAATGGACGCGTTCAAAATTTGCTGTACGGTAACAGTGGGCCCTATGAGAGTAGTGGCACTTCTGTCTTTGACGACCTATATTAACTATGAGATTAGAATCCATATTTTGCCTTCATCTCACCAGGTTGTCCACTCGTGAGCCCATCGTCTCCAGGCACTTGGCGATCCCTCTTGCAGTTGACATGACCAGCAGTGGATCGAAGCGCGAGGCATCGAGCTCATTGGCCACCACCCTGGCAATGGCTAAGCCATCTTTCTCACCAGGCAGTGACTTTGTACTGGCAATGCTGGTGGACATATAGCCACCGCTAGTGACAAAGTTACCTTCCAGGCACCGCTATCAGAATTGAACAGCATTCACATCGGTATGCACTCACTGCCTCCAAAGTATGCCGCGGGTGAAGTCGCAAAAGCAGAGCTGATGAGTTCATTAAGTCGAGTGGTGGAACGCTGAAGGTACAACGATTCGAAAGTAGAGACAGCTCGTAAGGTGATAACTGTCTCCGGTGACTGATGTGCTTGAGTGTAAACGGTCTCAGTATGAACCGAGATACGAGAGAAAAAGTCTTGGAAGAGTCGGAGAAGTCGAGGATACTGAGCTGTGAGAGTTTGGGAGAGGAACGTTGATGCTATTCAATGGCGCTCAGTTGGATAACACCTTGAAAAGGTACACTCACATTTGGCACCCTCTCGACAACTCTTTTCTAATGTTCGAGCTAGAATGCTCCAGAATGACGAGCTTGGTTTGTTCTCCAGCACTTGCATCACCTCGTCCAAGAACGGCCTCCCAGTAGATGCATCTTTTTGAGCCACGAGCACCTTTTCTAGAGTGTAAACCTGCCAAACTTGTCAATACATGGTTTGAAAATAAAATAAATAGATTTGCCTTGATACAAGCCTCCCCTAGATCGGCAATCATATTCTCCAGTCTGACCCAAAACGCATTCGTCCATTGAGGGGCGGTGAGATTTGTCGGCTCTGTGCGTACACGCGATTTGTACAGCAATGTAGACGCAGCTGATACCGCAGCCGACACGTCTGTTCAGACAAAGGGCATTAGCATCTGGAGATACCCAGCAGGTGAATCTACCTTTGACACCCTTTTCCTTGCTCAAGGCAGCCATATCAAAGGCTCCTTTTACTCTTGCTTCTACGACTTCTATCAAATCTCCGAGGAGATTCTGTACTGTCTCGGGTAGGATGCGCAAGTTGTGTGCCGTGAGCAGGGCAGATGATAACAATGGGCGATTCTATTGACAAAGATAAGTAATAAGGATGAAAGATCTAGGATCACTCACAAGCTCTTGGACGCCGGTGACCAACATGGCTTCCATCTCGCTCATGATCTGCTCCCTAGCTGTTTCGACATTGGGAAGGTGCGACGAAATGACATGTAACGCTCGTAACGAGATGGGTGGGAGTTCTGTCGGTAAATCATCTTCGTGATCCACCGACTCCTCCACATCTTTGTCCAAGTGTACGTCGGATTGGTTTTGTAGATTTCCATCTTCATCCTGCTTCAGGTCCGAGTCGACTAAAGCGACTATTGAACTGGTGAGGGAAGGTCTACTCGTAAGTGAACCACATACAGATTTCTGCAACGCTGAGTGCCGCCTTGATGATCGTCCGTTCCCTCTCCTTTTCCAGGTCATCTTCTTTTTCCAACCGTGGAGTATCGGGAGATGTAGGACTCTTGATGAGATCCGCCTTTGTGTTCGTAGGTGACTTGACGATTGATTCTGTATAAGTCGGACCTTGCTTGATTAGTGCCATCTGGACTTCTAGTCTCCGACTGAGCATGAAGAATCTCGCGACACGGCGTAATACATCCGAAGCCACTTGAAGCTTTTGCAGTCGTGTAGCGTGCGTCCTCAACGCCGCATACGGATTTGACAATTTCGTCCGTAGTCTGCCCATACAAGTAAAATAGATATCTACATCAGAAAAGAAATACCAATCACCTTGATACGCTCCCCGAGATATCTTTCAACCCTGCATTCACATTGTTCAAGCTGCCTTCGAGCTGGTTTACCGAGGCCGCACGGGAAAGTAAGGCTTCATGGTGCACATTGATAACGTTCTTGAGCTGGCGATTGACATCGTCCACGCCAAAACTCAACTTGGCCAAGGCGACTGAAATCTCTTCCTTGTTCGTACCGCTCGCGTCCAAAATCACGCTCGCCAACGATGGTCCACTCGCTGTTAGCGTAGATGAGCCAGCAATACTGGCATTGGTACCTTGTTTAGTCGTGTCGGTGGGGACGATGGTGGCTACGGACGAGGATCGTACATGCTGTGGCGGCTGGGTTTGGGTTTGGGATGGTGGTTGAAACGGAGGAAGTCGATATGGTTGTGCTCCTAATATCGCGTTCGCATACTCGTTCGCGTCAAAGTTGGGATGAGCAAAGATGGCATAATCTATCTTGTTCACAAACGCGATTTCACAAAAAGCACACGTATCAATTCCAATGTATGTTTGTCAACAAGCATAAGATACAAGAGGAGATATAATCACCGAGAGTAGACATGAATGTGATTATAGTTTGGTGTTGTGAAATCTACGACGAATGGACCGACCAATGAACGCGGGGATGGCCAAGTCATTTTTTTCGACTTCACGTCCCTTGCCTTTCCCCACCACCACCACCTCAATCACCACCAAAAAAAGAGCTAATCAAAGGCTCGGAAACCAAAAAGTTGAAAATGTCGTTTGCGCTACCTCGAATAAGTCGAGGAACAGCAACTCACCTCGCTCGTCCGACTCTCCCGAAATCCTTGTCGGGGACTGTGACTCGGCTCACCTCGACCAACAACAACATTAGTAAATACGGGTATAATGCTGTAAATCGATGTTATACGACTTCGAGTCCTGTAAACTCGTCGGACAACTCGTCAAGACCGCCTCGGTCGATCGAAGACTCGACGTCTGCCTTGGACTACAAGTATGCGCATCGAAGAGCCAGACCGCCTCCATTACCCGCCTCAGGTGAGTCTTTACACGTTTAAATATTGAATTTTCCTTTTTTGCTGATGATTATGCTGTTTGACGACGGTGTTTGTGTTTATAGATCGAGGCAGGTCGAGGAGTGCTGAAGAAGCTGTTACCAACATTTTGTACAATACACCTCCACCAAGTACAGAACCATTTAAAAAGTGGGTTCCATTTTCATCATCCCCAGGCCTCTTTATACCCTACACACCACTACCACGCACCCCTCCTAATTACTCCTAAATTACCTTTCCACCCAAAAACTTTCCCAACTCCATAATGAACTTCAACTAACCAATCCTCAAACCCAGACACATCCTCAACTGCCTCGTGCAAAACGAACCAGGTGTACTCTCCCGCGTATCCGGAATTCTGGCCGCTCGAGGTTTCAACATCGACTCGCTCGTCGTCTGCCGCACCGAAATCCAAGATTTATCCCGCATGTGTATCGTGCTCAGCGGCCAAGACGGTGTCGTCGAACAAGCCCGCCGTCAACTCGAAGACCTCGTACCCGTCTGGGCCGTCCTCGACTATACCGACACGCGCACCATCAATCGAGAATTGTTACTCGTAAAAGTGTCGATTCTGGGTCCCGAGTACTTGGAAGACCAGTTGGCGGGAGGACCGAGCCATGATCCACGGAGTCATGCTGTTGTCGAACCGCCCGAGTCGGCGATATGGGAGGGTGGAGAAGGGCAAGGACAAAAGCCGTATCATCAGCATTCGAGCAAGATGGAGCGGGAGATTAGTCTGGCCACTTCGTTTGAACAAAGCGGCAAGTCGACACACTACCCATCCACGAACGACTCTCCTCCTCAAGGAAGTGATGCGAACGCCAACGTGACACCTCTTACCCCCCACCAACTGCTCACCCTCAAATCGACAAACTTGCAAGCCCTGAGCACGCTCTCCTCGCACTTTGGCGCCAAGATTGTCGACATTTCCGAAAACAGCGCCATCATCGAGTTGTCCGCGAAATCTGAACGTGTCGACGCGTTTTTAGGGCTTGTGAAGAGCTGGGGTGTGTTGGAGGCCGCGAGGACTGGGTTGATGGTCATGCCGCGCACGCCGATCGCGAATATGGAGGGTGAAGACGGAGCAGAGGGAGCGAGTGACGAAGGTGGACCTGTTGATGCCAGTTTGTTGCCTCCAGGTTAGAGGTGTGTAGTTGTGGAAGGAAAGAGAAATGGCCTTGGGTTGTTGTACGATGTAGGTATTCCCGGGCCCCCAACCCAAAAAAGGGAAGAGCGGTGACGTTTGTCATAAGAATCCTCCCCCGCACTAGGAAGTGTGTGGGGAAATGAAAATGATACAGTCACTTCGGTTTTCATAATCTTTTGAGCAAAGTGAGGTTATTTTGACAGAGTGGAGAAGGAAATTGTAATTTGAATGAGCTACTAGTGAGGTGTAATGGGTAGAGAGACAGGAGAAATGCTGGTCGATGACACACCCCTCCGTGCCGATTTCAAACTCCGCCCCTATCACGCCTGCAAAAGTTCGCCTAGATAAGCAAGCGCACACTCGATGACTGCGCAAAAGAGTAGAAAACGGATCGTATATTCTCCACGAGGATAATTGCAAATTAAAAGGGGCCATATCGTTTACGTACAGCCGATCCGAGACATCGCCAATGTTGCCACGCACATTTATTCTCACAAGTGATGGGTCACCTTTCACTAGAGCTCTATTCTGATGGTCTGGTCGTCACGTTTGGAAGCTAGACCGCTAAGCGAGTGAGGTCGGACGACCTGTACTGTAGCGTGGACCTCGAGCGTGACTTTGGCATGACTTTTATTGAGCAGAATGATGTCGACGAGTACTCTTTTGCACAGACGAGATACGATGCAAGCGGGAAACTGGACGCGCACAAGCAGCGTGGTGTATACCATCGTATCACTGATACGTATGCGATTACCAAGAATACTGAGAGGCCAAGGATCTATAGTCAACACCCGATCGACTACTGCCAAGCGTTTTGCTGTCGGAGAGATAAGCCTCCTTCTTTCATATGACCGTATATGCTTATCTCTACCCCCTGTAATCCCAAATCCATAATGCTCGAGGTTCTTTGGATTGTTTGCTATAACCCCCTCGCAAGCGAATAAAGGCTCAAGACCCCTAGGGACCCTTTGGATCGGCAAGCCATTTGAAGATACCCGGTGATAAAGACGGGTTGTCGGCGAGGTGAGCCGCTCGGCCGACCAATCACAGCGCGCTGATAAGCAAACCCATTCGACGCTGCAATATCCAAAAGCGATCTATTCAGTAAGGATTACACTTTAAAGGCCGTTTAAACCGTATTCAGTCTCAAATATGCGAGCTAGCGTGGTCATTCAGCATTCAGTCGAACCCATTGTAATTGTCACTCGTTTGGGTGTAAGCCTTTTGTCGCGTTTACAGCGAACAGAATCCACTATTTCGAATGACACACACACAGAGTTTTTATTTGTCGGGCGAGCTGTCAATCTGGAGCGAGAGATAACAGGGATACCCCCGCCAGGCGTATATAACCTGCCCCCACTCCGGCCCATCCTTCCATCTTACGTGAACTCCCCTTCCCCTTCTCTCTCTCCTTTTTGCGACTGTTTTTCCGTCTGTCAGAGTCGTGCGACAACGACCGAACCCGACGGCTAAACCAAAGGAGACCCCGAACGGAAAACTGTTTTTCACGCTGCCCAAACAACTCGACATCTCTCTCTCTCCTCTACTCCCACTATGGTTCTAAAGCGAGAAGTGGACCAGTATGTCCAAGCCTCTCTATCCTCCACATCCACTAACCACC